TGTCTGTAATCTTGTGTTCTCTGAAAATTGTATACATTAGAATATAAACGTAGTACTTAAATTAGAAAAAGTTTTCTCATGAGAGTTTCAACTAGTTAATATTTGTATTACTATACAACAGAAATGATAAACTGTTTATTTTGCTGCCATGATATAATTGTTTATAAAGTAGTGACTTGAGAGAGATCATTGATTTCTTTCAGTAAAAGAGTAACCAAATTGTTGGTAGAGGAATTATAAAATCATGCTTCCCAGTTCTGTTTTTTTTTCTTATTGAACACTAAGGGGTTTTTGCAGTAAGTGCAAACATGATGCATGTTTCAGAATAAAAATTCGGAAATCGTATCAGTCACTCTTTATAGTGTTATGTAGAAGAGAATTCATTGGGTGAAATTCACTTTGTTGTCTTGGGCCCCTAGAAAACTAGTGGTCACACCTCAAACTCCTTTTTGGGGCAAAGTTGAGTGATTTGTAGCTTTGGCATGAGGGGATCTCTTTATTCTTTATTAAATTGAGATGGAAAATGGAGAAGGGTGTGTACTGTGAGCTCTACATTTTTGGGGTCTCAGAGGTTCTAACAGCCTCAACACATGGGAATTAATAATAACAATCTCACTTTGGGAGGCATTTGATGCCTTTATTTTTCCAAGGTTTTTTGTTTTTTTTTAAAGAAAGATCTTTTACCTTATCTTAGAGGAAACGTTGCCTCTAATCATTGCTTCAAGTTCAGAAAGCTACCCGAGCTCCCGTGGTAACAACCTTGTTTTGTTGGACACCTTTGCAGTTTTTATTTTACCAGAAGTGTATGTCCCTGTGCACAAAACAACAGTTCAGGCTGATCCTCAAAGTTCTGTCATCATTTAACCAGTAGAAAGATCCTACTCCATAAAAATGTCAGTGTCAATACCTTTTCTATTAATATGGTGATAACCATAGGATGTCTTCTGTTATTTTGAATTTATAATGGGACCTACCTGAAGGATTTAGCAGGTCTTGTCCAAATTCTTATGTATGATGCATGAGCCAACAATCCAAATCAGATCTTAGAAATATAACAGACAGAGAGTCTAAAGCCCCAAAATTCCTCTTATGCCACAAAACATTGTGGTTCTGGAATTCCTACGGCTATTGAAACCTAACCTTTGCGGTTCTGGGAATCTTACTTTAAAATATCTTACCCTTTCATAGTTTCAATATTTACTTTACATCCTTGTATTCAGATATATTTACCATACATTTGTCTCTGGCTGGCTTAGTGAAAAAATTTTATTCACGTTTTTGCCCTACTCTAAGTAGTTTCCTCTCTGAAATGGTTAAAAAAAATTCTGATGGGACATCTCTGCAGTCTTAGCAACTTACAGCTTGTTCTCTCTTGCATTTATCTGTGGGTACAAATTGCAGCTACATCTGCATCTGGAAAACTGTAGAAATGAGAGTACTTCTGTGCATTTACCCAAATCTGATCGTTGTTACTTGATTGGCTTAACAGCTTTCTTCCTCAAGCCACATTCTCATCAGGGACTTGCTGATTTGCATACAGTGACTTTCTGCAGGCAGTCATTATTCCACCTATCTAGGAATAATGTGAAGGCTCTCCCAGTATATCCTAATTCAGCTTCTTGTCAGACGAAAAGATCAAGTGGTGCCTACTTCTGTAAGACTTAGGAAATTTTCAAAGGACCAGTATGACCCAGGTTCGAGCAAGTTATTTCAATTCCACAAGAATATCTAATGGCTTTGTTTGGACCATACTATTTTATAAGACTTCTGAGTCTGATAATACTTCAGCAGAACTATATTCCATTCTCAATCTAATTGCCTTCTTGAAGTATATTCATTTCCAATGTAAGTCTGCAAAAATTAATTGCTCGAATTTATTTTGGAGAATAAACAGTAATTGTAGGGGTTTTGTGTTGAGCTGTCCTTGCATATTTTTATCCTACTGGTAGCCAAAGATTCTGAATTTGTTCCCATATTTGTCTTGACCAAGAATGGTCAGGTCATTTTCCTATGTCTTACTGTCACAAGCTGTAAAATAGTGATAATCCCATTTACTTTGTTTCTAAAATCCTTTGAGGCTTTTTAGTGGGATTTTTATAATAAAGCCCATTTCGCTTCCAACGGAGTTGGTAATTTTGAAGAGTGAACAGACTTAAACTGCTTACATTTGAAATATGGAAGTGTTATCCAAGTTTAATTGCCCGTGTATTTCTTAAGTGACTAAGCATCCATTTGTTGCATACCCTTCATCCCTTGGCTTCTTTCTCCTTCTTGGTCTTCTGCCTCTGCTACTGTTGTGTTCCGATTCCAAAATGGTTTTCCTTCAGTTTCTCTGTTTCACTACTGTGGCATTATATTTGCACAGTAACTTTACTTTAGGTCATGTTATGTTTTTGAGTGCTTCTTGTAGGAACAACTTATCACAGCATGCTTTTAGGCAAGCTTGATACTCATAGTATTAAGTGACCAAAGGAAAAATCTTAGACAAATGACTTGCATAAAATTCACTTTTGTGATGTCTTAAGAGTGAAAAAGCACATATTAGAGAAAAAAGTATGTTAATGGTCACAATAAATCTTTAGTCATCTGTATTTTAGCACTGTTATCCCATGCAAATCCAATGGAGATTTTCTAGTAGGTCTTATAAGTCTGAATGTTTTGATAAGAAAAGTATTCTATTTGAATGAAAATAATTGCAACAATACATGGTGTTTTGCTTAAATTTATTATAAGAATGCATAAAATGGTGTAATACAGTAGCTTGTTTATCTGGAAATCCCTTCTTGGGTCAATCTGTGTATTCAAAATGCTTAGTAAAGCTTCTGAAAGCACTGCTCAGCAGTGTTGCAAAGTCTGAAGTTATTTAGCAGTAGACTAAAAGTATTCATTTTAATAATTTAGTTTTTTTAGTCTCTCAAAACAGTAGTTTGGGAGCTTAATGGTGTTTGATGAAGACAAAGAAATATTAGCCAAAGCATTAGCCAAAGTCAAAAGGAAGGAAGGAATCAAATGTTGAAAGTGCACAAGCAATGAAATCAAATCACCCAAAACAGAACATTGTATGTAAAAACTCAGCTTGTTGATTTCACCATTCTTTACCAAACTCAGCAAATCACTAAGGTATGACTTCTGACCATGCTTTACCAAACAAAATATCCAAAGCAATCTTTTTACAGAAGTCTACATATCATAGGATTGTTTCTTAAAGAAATGCATTATATTTTGACTCACTGCAGATGAAGTACCGTTGTGCCTTGCAGGAAATAGTTTATTTGAGTAAGAGAGAACTTTGAGATAGAACAATGTTATTTTGTTTTTGTCATGATTGTATAGCTTCAGAGAAAACAAAACTCAGGTGTTCATATATGCTGTCTACAATATGCTAAAAAAAAATATTTGGAGATCCTTCACTGTTAAATGTTGTGTGAACAGTATGCTTATGCTGATAATATGACATGTCTGTTGGCAGTAGATTGGGATGTGTGAGAAATGCATAGTGGAACCTTCACTTCCAGAGTGAGGGCAATAAAATTACAGTTCAGTAGTTAATATGTGTCCTTAGAAGGTTTTATGATATGCAGTTGCTTACAGCTTTTATATGCCTTTAAAAAAATCAATCCCTGTATTAAGCCATTTCATCCTTTGTTCCGATCCATTCTGAAGAAGAAACTATTAGCATGCCTATAGTACTGAAGAAAACAGAGTACATTTTTTTTTATGCCTCACAGAATAGCGCAGGAGAAAGTGGAAAGTAATTGCATGAAGAATAATGACTTGCCAGTGATCTGTAATCATTTCCTACCACCAGCCTACTCTTATAAGAAAGGACTGTAGAATTCAATAAATATGAAAGATGTTAGAATGACTTTCAATTTTTATTGAAATTGTTCTTTAAAATAAAAATATTAACTACTTTTAATCAAATTTTTGGCCACTTTAGAGAAAGAATATAATATTAAAATTTGGAGCGGAATATTAAAAATGCTTCTTTTCTTTGAACTCAGACATTAAAAAAATCTTCAAGAGACTGAACTCCTTTCTAGGGAAATGGAGATCTATTTGAAAACACTTACTATTGTATACCTAAGCAGACATTCATATCAAATGTATTACTGAAACCGTTTTATCAACATTGTCTCTGAAGGGGTGATTTATGACTATCTAGAAGCTTTCAAATAACCACTAACTGAATATTTTAAAGTTTTGAGAAAGTCTAATTGGTTCCCTAAGTGGGCAACATGATCCTATACAGTATAAAAACCTAGCAAAATAACACTGTACAAATGAATGGGACCTACCACTCTCTGAGGTTAAAAAAAAAAAAAAAAAAAAATTCAAATATACTTTGTTTAACAAAAAAAAGAAAAGCATCCACATAGAAATTAATTGCTCATTCCTCTAACTCATCAGATTCTGTGTTTGAATACGGGAAGTTTTCTGTGTTTGAATACAATTCAACATTTTTTTTCTTGAAATTTCAGTTGGCAGAGAACTTATCACTGCAAAATGTTTGGTAGAAAATCCAGTACCATGTATGTTTTAAGAAATTTGATTCTTGCACTGCTAGAATGTTCATAGCTCAAGGACTTTTATTTGTATTATTTTTAAAGCTGATGGTACCATTTAAAATGTTTTAAATTCAGCTAATCAAATAAGACCGGACCAAGTTGAGGGTTTAGTTATATTCTTCTTTTCTAAAATCTGATCTTGCGGAGGGTGTATCTGGGGACACAGTTTGATCTATTGAGTTTAAGTAAAATTTCTGTCAATAGAAATAAAAATTTATGACATAATCTTGAGCTTCTGTTTTTACATTTAATGTTTTTATAATGAAACGTTATTAAGAAATACACTACTACCTTACTTCAGTATATAATATACTGTATCATATTTATAGTAGTAAGAAGGGTTTAAATGAGAAATAAGCAGACCTGTTAGTAGCAGAGAATAAATAAAGCTGTGTTTTTAGAGACAGGGGTTGCAATGCAGAAGTTGGGTGTTCATTTGGTCTTCTGTGGTTTAAGAACAACACTGCAATAGGATCTTATGCATGAAAATGCATGTGGTGATAGCTGTCTTGTATTGATATAGTTGTTTTCAAGATGAACATGTTCCAAACGTGACTCTTCATTCTCCTCCTCTTCGCTGTTGTCATGAACATCATCATCATTGATATGAGTCCTGCAGATGCGTTCTGGAGGGACCGTCCTGTGACATTGTGGGAGGAATTGTAGTTTAATTATTCAAGATAACTCATAACTTCATGATTTATTTATTTATTTTCAAACTTTATGCTGTTATTTAGAGATTTGAAAATGTTAACTTAAGCAGTATATTAAATTTTCTCACTAATATATTTATTGAGGACTTTCACAAGTAATTCTTTTTAAAATTCTCTTCTTGCATTGTTTTCTCATTTATATCATATGCTTAGTTTTCCTGAGGAAAGTATTGCCATGTATTGCTGAATGAAAACTTTCTGTATAACACACGTAAGATCCTCTGTCTATCGTTCCTTTGCTTTGTGAACAGTATAGAGGAACTAGAGGCCATGCCTAACTTCACCACTGGGGCTGGCTGAAACCTTCTGAAAGGCCACATTCAGTGGTCATCAGCAGCTGATGACTCCTTCCAGTTATTTTATAACTGGTTTGGGCTCTGCTCCAAGAGCAGAAAAAGCTGGTACTTAGCTGTGCCTATCAGATTGTAGCTGCCCCGGCGGACATGTGGCCCAAGCAGTATTACAGATTAGTTTCCTGGAGAGAACTGGTGCTCAGCATCTTTGTGAGCATTTTCAAGAACTATGAGAAAGTGCGAAATCTCACTTTTCTCTTATCCTATGCAGAAATACTGCAGTAGAAAACTCAGGATTTAGCTCCTTCTTCAGAATTTTTAAAGAAAATATTTACTTAAAAGTAAAAAGTTCTTAAAACAAAGCATGTCTTGTGACATTTATTTTAATGCCATTAATGTAAAAAAGATCTTGGAAATTACCTTATTTTATTATTGTTCAGTCTTAGAAAACGTAATTTTCTCATTTCATCAATTCCAAACGGTACAGACTTTAATTCATTGTGATCCAAAAATAACTCTCTTAGAGAGTGATACGCTCCAAAAAATGATACTGGATCTATTCCATCGTCAGTAAGTTTGTTAAAGGACAAGTAGAGATATTCCAGCCCTGGCTTCATGTGACCAAAGACATATCCTGGAATTCTTTCAATCTGATTTCCTATAAGTATCAGATGTAGTAAAGATTTTGGCAGATAGGAGGGAACATGATATAACTTATTATAAGAGAGATCAATTGATTCCAAGTTCCTGCATTAAAGGAGAAAAATAAAATGGGATGAAAACATTATAGCATACTGCATTGTTAATGCTACGTTCTGTACAAAATGGTGCTTAACAGGATTACAAGGAAACTAAATTTCAAAGGGAAATCTGTTTCTGTTGATGGAACAGAATGCATTTTATGGAACATGGTCATGCATAATTACTTTGGGAATAGAAAGAATTGAAGTCATTAATTATCAATCAAGCCCAATGATTCAGTTGATGGGAAGAAATCTACAGTTATGAGTACAGAGATAAGGTTGAATAGGGGAAACCTAAGGGACTAATTTGTGATTGATAAGCACTGCAGAATTGCAATAGTGAGTTACATTGGAAAACACATAATAAACTTGGGACTTCAGTGGTTATCCCATTGACATGGATTTTTAAATTTTATTCTAAAGCCCATTTGAAATTGATTTTTTTTTTTTGTGAATGGGTCCTTTAGGATCATTCTGATGTGCTTCCCTTCCAGAGATGAGAGAAGCTGTTAGTAATAGTGTGGTTGTTTTCAGATTAAGCAGTTTACAAATCCAGAAATCAACTGATAAGACTGCAGCTGATAGGTTGTGGCAAGGTACCCTACGTAGCTTAGCAAATCATTTACCAGAAGAATCAAAAGCAGTTTCGTCTTATGCTTCTTTCATTCTCATTGCTTGCTCTGCGTATGTTCTACTCCTACACAATGCGGCTGCACAGTGTTCCCTTCATCTTATTTACTTCTATAATTTTTAATCTGATGGGAAATAAGGCTAGGACAATATTCAATTATTTTAAATTACCTGTGAGGTAATGATATATTAGTACCAAATTATTGTATAATTTTATGGAGAATTATTGATAATTAATGTTCATTTTTTGATTGGATGGTCAAAAAATATTTAGACTTTTACGTATAGAATTGAGGTATAAGATCTTTTTGTTTTAAAGCTGATTCTGAATACTTCCTAGATTATACAATTTAAGCAAAGGAAATTAAGACAAATTAGCAAAGGAAAACAAGCAAATCAAAAGATTACTTTTAACTTGAAATTGTAGTTATGAAGTGCAAATATTTATTTCATTATCTGACTCACTAATAACAGAGAAAAATAAAATAATTACATTTTAAATAATTCATACTTACTCTTGGTTTATCCAAGCCAAAGGTGCTATTCTGTGCTCTTCTAATTTGTTATGCTTTAGCACAATGACATTTATGTGTCTTGTATGGTTAAAGCAAATTTCTGACACTTCTTCAATTTGATTATTTTCAAGGTATAACTCCTGTAAGTGCATTTGGAAAGAAAATTTGTGAAAGCAAAATACGCTGTTCTTTCCCATTGCAAATTCAAAATGTAGCTATTACCTGTCCTCCATATTACCTGATATATCTATTAATTTCTGAATCAGTCAGTTGTAGCTGTAGTGTGACTTTCAGAAACACAATTTTTCAAAGCAATTGTTTTGTTTTCTCATTTGTGAGAATACAGATTGCTTTGAAAGATCAAATAGAAAAACAGTTGTATCTTTTGTCTTGCTTGAAGTTGTACAGTGTAAGAGTATATAATGTGAGAGTGATGAGATTGACAAGAAGTTGATAATTTTTTTTTTTTGTCTTGGAAAGCTATTAGTGAGAAAATTATTAAGAGTCTTGCTTTCTTAATATTTTTGCTGGGCACTTGTGAGCTTTGAAACAAATTTGTAGGAATATAAAATGTTGATGTTTTACAAAACTTAATGTGAGTCTGCAATGTATCAAACCTGCATGTTTTACACAGATTAAGTTCCTGATAATGGCTTGTAATGTAGGATAAATATGACATGAAATAAAAATGGAGCAATGACTAACATTTATGTAGGACCTGAAATAGAATTTAAGGCCTCTAGAGGAAGGCTTTGGGAAAAGAGAAAAGCAACTTTGTAACCTGAAAAACGTTGTTTGTGAATTTATGAAGTGTTGGTTTAAAATTAAATGTTCCCAAAGCATATGAAGTGTAGAAAAACTTGCCAGGTGTTCACTGTTTCATCAAGGAAGAATGAAGTGAAAAAAAGAAAAAAGTAACATATGAGTGAATGGATAGTGGAGAACGTTAGGCTGAAGTAAAGTTGCAGGCAGTAGCTGCAGAAGAAGCTAATGTTGTAGAAAAGATATTATTCATTTTGCTAGACTTGGTTTTCCTTTTTTTTTTTTTTCGCCCCCCTCTCATTTCAGATTATGGAAGATCCCAAGGATAAAAGGAAATAAATACGAGGACACGGAAATGAGAAAGACCAAAAGGAAGGATAGAATCAAGAGAGATGATGAAATTAATAGGTAGCAAGGATTATCTTTGAAGTAAAGACTGAGGTAAACAGAGAATGAAACTAGACAGATTTAAAAGGGGGAAGAAAATACCTTCGAGATAGCATCCCTAAAAAATCCAAGCCATATCACTGCAACAAATCCCATTCAAATTCTGGGCAGAGGAATGGAATGGGAGACTACCAAAAGCAGAAATTTCTTGATTAAAAATCAAGGAATGAGGAAACTGTTCAGGGAAGAGAAATAAACCTCCCATTCAAACCCTGCACCACACCCCAAATGAGGCAGAATTCAGCAAAGGTTTGGAAAACCAGGGGAACTGAGACTTAAACCAGCCAAAAAAAGAAGAGGACGGTTAGATATAGGCATCTCTCTCTCTCTCTCAGACTAGACAATCTTGGTTCCTTTAGTCTTTCCGTATAAAACAGGTTTTCTACATCTTTCATTATTCTTGTTGCTGTGTTGTGAACTTTACTCTGTGTGGTAACTCAAAGTTCACAATGTTTTTGCACTAAGACGTTATCTGTATTAGGAGTGTTATGTGAGTGGTGTGTAACTGAACAGGCAGAAGTTGCAGGCTATGCTATTTGGTGAGACAGTACTAGATAAATTCAGATACCTTAAAAGATACCTTTTGGGATGGAGGTGGTATAAGTAACTTTCTAGAAATAATGATTTAGGAATAAAAATCATTAGTATATCTAGAAACAAATTTATAAAATTTAAATTTATCTCTACCTGATGATAGTAAGGCAGTAAGTAGGGAAAAAAAAAGAAGAAAATGTCTGGAAAAATGAAGCTTTCTTGGTTTGTTTTTTTTTTTCTTTTTGGTTGTTTTGTTTTGTTTTGTTTTTACCTCAAGAGTGGTGGGAAGACCTTGTGGGATAATTCTAAATTTATTTCTTCCCAGTCGCAAATAAGAGAGACTTTTCAAAGGATAAAAGGCCAAAGGACTGACATTCGCTTCACTAAGTTTATTTCCTTCTAATTCCAGGGTGACCAAGTTCTTTAAATCTGGGGAGAAAAAGTTGGAATTTCTGTTAGTTAATGCCATCTCATATCTTGTTAAAATGCATGTTTAAAATTTAACCATCTTAAACATTACTCAGATCAGTTCACAGCGGTGAAGAAATATAGCGAAAGAATATTCATTTATTATCTCATAATCATAGAATTATATTGTTTATTAGTTTGTAGAACTTTAGAGATTGACTAGAGCTTTATTTATAGCTTTCTCTCCCACTTACAATGGAAAAGGCGGCAGCTGTAAGACTTGTGGATAGTGCTACCATTTAGGTCTTATTACTTCATGGTTATGTGCAGATGATGTTTGGAATACTATGTGGGTGCTGACCTTTGAGCAGTTGCCCAATGATCTCCATGGGTCTCCAGTCACTTACATGATAATGGGTATGGTACTCTTTCTTTGGGCTCATATCTTCCCCTCCCTGCTTTACTCCTTTCAACCACCTGCTGCACTGTGTTGAGAACCCTTCACAGATTATACTGTTCCTCGTCCTCAGCCATCCAAATGCAGGTCACAGAAGAAACCAGTGTTGATCAATATATGTAAGCAGAAAATACTGTTTCATAATAATAAGTTCCTCATTTGCAAATAATCCAAATAACTTCTTTTTTACAGAAGCTTTGTATAGCTCCTCCTAACAGTGCAGTTTGATGATTTTAAACTAAAAGGCTCTTGCAGCCGTTGGCCTAAGTTTTCTTTGTCTTAGCTCAAGCATTTATATTGCTCCATAGTGAACTGTATCACTAACTGATCCGGTTTAAATGGGGACCCTTTTGGCAGAAGAGTAAAGGGAGCAAAAAAGTCAGTCAAATTATGACATGGATGGTACCCTTTCTTTTTTTCTTTTTTTCTTTTTTTTTTTTTTTTTAATCAGCCCGCATTTAGCTTAGCTTAAAATCATCATGGTTAACTCTAATTATATTCTGCCTTATATTTCATGCACATCAAATTCTGTTCACTTTCATGCAATTTTAAAAATAATTAATATAGTTTCACCACACATAAAGCGATCAGGTTATGGGTCAGGACAGTAGGTATCTTCAACATACTTCAAAACCATCTCTACTTAGTAACCTTAAATATAAGCTTCTTTCAGAGAGTAGCAGTTGCATAAGAAGGGAAAAAGTAATTTTTAAAAACTCCGTCATGCAAATCTTTCAGCTTCTGCTGCCTTTTGAAAACATGGCACTTAAAAGCAGCAATTATTTTTCTGGTTATATCAAACCAGATGCATTTGGTTGAACATTCTGCTTTTCAAATTTATTTTAATCTTTTCATGTGATTGATGTTAGTTTTCTAAATACCTTGTAAGCCATCTTCATCAATGGCATGAAGGTGGTTGTCATTTATTTTTATTTCTTCCAAAGTTGATGGCAATTCAGAGGGAATATGTACCAGCATATTTCCATCCAAATACAAACGTTTTAGCTTTTTCAGGATCTTAATCATAGGGATGAAGAAGAGAACTTAGATTATCAAGGTGTAAAATATATGGTTAAACATACAGTGTAATTATAGTTAGCATTTTCTTAAACACACTTTTTGAAGATTTTCAGCAGCAGTGCACTAGTATCCAGTGTTTTGAATAAAAAAATGTTTTTTTCCTATCAGTCTAATTAATTGGTTTCTTTATGCTAAATATTAACAAAGTTGCCAGTTAATGTGATGTGTAACCAGAAGAGCTTGATTGAGCACATCAACTTTCCACATGGCCATCCTGCAGCTATCCAGCCATACCAATTTGTATTACTGCTATTGTCTTTGAGTCATGTACCTATTACCTTACTACACTACTGCAGTATTTAGGAGTTCAAAGCACATAATTTATAGATTATGCATTTATACTCTTCATTTGAGCAAATTAATGGTTTTCTGTAGGTCAGCAAATTTACTTTGCTCAAGCATAACGACAGCTTCAGTGACCTAGGATTTTTATTACTTCAGTCAGCTTTAAAAATTGGTATGAAAAATTGTCGTAGCTTAATTTTGATAAATGCACATTAGTCATCATGCAGTAGTAAGCATTTTTTAAAAAGGTGGAGTTGTTTTAGCAGTGGATCCACTGAAGCCTGCTTTCCTCCAGTTTTGTCTTAACTGCCTGGTTTAGCCTCACTAAAATTTATTTCATGATTGAGACACCTTCCTGGTCTGTCTTTTCCATCCACTTTGATTTCATAGGAGTTGTAGGAACGGAAGTCCTTTGAAATCAGCCAAAACTGTTCATGTTATATGGAGGGAGGTATACAGAGAGTCCTACAAGAAGACCGATTGCATACGGCAGGAAACAAAATTAAAAACATAACTGTGATAATTCAATTTGTTGTTCATATGCTTTTTGTATTCATCTTGCCTGAAAAAGCAAGGTCTTGATGCCTTACTTCCACACTTGAATTACTACCTGTACGTACTTGTTTGCATGAGAAATTATTATGGGACTTTCTGTCTTCAAGTGAGGAATATGTAGATGCACTTGAATAGCCTGTTACCATGTAAATTCCCCTTGCAAGAAAAAGACTGACTATAGAAAGTTTCTTGGACTATTTTATGAGAAAGCTGTTCTTTTAGGAAGCAGCCATGCTTGAAAGTTTCTCATTAAAGACAGTCAACAATAAGCATTACAGCTGATTACATGAACTCCTATTGAGTGGATTTTTATAGCAAGACCTGGCATAGGCTGATCTTTTTGGGAATCTAAGAGCATAAGCTTTACAGAGCTGATGTAGTGAGAAAGATGATACATAAATTTAAAAATATTGAGCCTGAGTATCCCACGTACGGTTAATGGAATATGAGCCCTTCAATTCTGAAATCTCTCAACTGCAACTGATAAAATATGAGAAAATTGTCTCTCTCCTATTGTTTAACATTTAATACTTGGTGAATGTAATTCAAAAATCTCTACAGATATTCCTGATTATGACGAGAGATTTCCTGAAATAGCCAGGTTTAACTGTATTGTTACAGTTACATGGTTAATGCAATGGTTAGTCGTACTAGGTGCAAACTGTTTTAGATCCATAGACTGAAAAGCAGGAAAAGCTTTCCTTTAAGCAATAATTAGTCATAGGATAGTAGAAAAGTTAGGCTTTCTTACTTTGAATGCTTGTAGACCTATGCCAGGAGAGGTAATACTATTTTTACTCAGATCAATCCATTCCAAATTAGGTATCCCATTGAATGCTTCATCTGAGATAGTAGTGATACTATTTCCTAGGACAGAATTCAAGAAGATAGTTTGAGTTATGAACTACAGCATGCATCTGAGTTGTGTAGTATTGTACATGAAAAATATATTATGAAAATAGTTGTATTATGTACCATAATTGTGTGGATATATTCATATTAGTATTTAAACACTTGTAAGCCAATCTAACATTTTTAATTTATTGTTTTAGAGGCTTAGCTGTAAAATTCATTCTAATACATTTCCATGATAAGGAACAACAAAGTATTAACACTACTGTTGACTGCATTTGAGAATGGATAATGTTACTCATGAGGAAAATCGTGCAGAGTAGACCCATTATTTACCTGTAAGGTCTAGACTTTTTAGATCTGGATCTGAGATTGGTGGTATTTGTGTAAGTTTGGCGTTAATGCAGCTTACTGTGGTGTCTGAGGTGGAACATCCAGGTGGTAAAGGAGGAGCTTCTATGGGTGGAACAGGAATTGGGAAATGAGATGGAATTCTGAAAGTACCATCATCTTCATCACTTTCATATTGTATTTCTTCTTCTGCAGCTCCCTTTCTTGTGATAGGCTTCTTTTCTCTGTGATGGGCTTTATACTTCTGTCGATTTTTTTTGCCTTTCCTTTTTCTTTTCTTTTCATCCCTTTTACGACCCTCTTTCTCTTTAAACTCTACCACTTCTGTTCTAAGCAGTTCATCTTTTTCAGTTTGAGTATGTGCTGATGACAATACATTGGCATTGTCAAGGTCATTGGGTTCTGGAGAATCACCAGACAGCTCACTTATGTCATCCAGTGAAATAATACTTGAATCCAAGGAGGAGGCTAATCAGAGGCAATGAGAACAAAAAAAAAAAGTTGTCTGATACAAGGATATGAAACTGAAGTTTTAGTAAACATTGTTCCCTTCATATAATAAAAATACGGTAACTATAGAAGAATAGTGTTCCCCTTAGAATATGATTTGAAAGAATGAAAATATGGTCTTATATTACTGCTTGACAGAAGAGACATACTTTGACTGAGAAATGATTAAACCAACCATACAGAACATTTTGTAGACAGGTATGATTCATTACAACTCCAGAAAAAAGGGGAAAAAATTAATATAGCCTTCGTTATCTTCCTTATTGAACTAATATATTAATTAGGTTTTTTGTTGATGGAGGTATCTAAAGAGGAAAAATAATGTGTCTGGGAGTGGGAGGAAGGTAATTTGAATAAAATTCACGAAGGTTAAGATTTGTTCTCCAGTGCAAGTGACTGTCAGATGTAGCGATGGCTGCAGGTGGGGAGCTCACCAGGAAACCAAAATGCAGTTTTTACTTGCATAACAGGGCAATTTAAATAAAAGGAGTTTAATTGTTTCAATCAACATGACTTCTAGTTCTACAGTTAATTTCTATCATGCCTCTACTCAGTGCATTTCCGTGTATCACATATGCGCACACACACAAGGCTAAATAATATTTTTATGGTAAGAGGAGGTTAAGTTCGATACTTTGCAGACTTAGGGTATTGGGAGTGGGGGAAGGAAATCACATTTCATCTTTAACTCCTTCATTTCTTTTCTTTTTAAAGATACTGAGTTTGTTTAAATTTTTATGAAGAAGCAGTAAGATTTTAGTTCTGTTGTTCCTCTTGTGATTTGACTTTCTTCTCTTGATTTGTATCAAATAGCTGCATGTTTTTACACCCCTAACAAAGATTTACCAGTCTGTAAACTGTATGATGTTTATTATGTATGTCTAATACATTAATAATGGCTAATAGTTATTGATTGATCCTTTGTAAATGGAAGTGGGATATTAAATGTAACCAGATGTTCTTTCTTCGTACATTTACCAAAATTTTGTAAAGGTAGGAGGGAAGAAGCAGAAAGGGGAAAATAAAAAAAAAAATATAATTATCTTTACTATTGCATACTTAACATCTTCTTTCCTTTAAATATCATATCAAACTCATCTGACAGCCAGTGTACTCTAAGAAACAGAAGTCAACTTGAGTAGAAATTATGAAGACCTGCTCTTATCATATAATTCAGGACTTGTTTTCTCTATAAAAGGATAATGTGTACCTTGTAATCATTGATATCATTAAATGTAGCGTTTATGTTAGGTTTTGCATGAAGTAGTTTTAAAATAGTAAAAATATTATGGTGTACTGTACCAGTATCAGAACAAACTGGGCAGCATTCTCCTGCAGGTATAATAGTTTTGGGACATTTCAGAGGGTGGCACATAGTTGTATCACATATCACTTCTCCTTTTGAACAGAGACAGGTAACGCAGGGCTTGGGAGACCAGACAGCTTTATCATACATAATCATGCCATTAGCTGTGCAATGCCCCTTCTTTCCTAAGAAAAGAAAACAGAGAATTGGAGTTAAATAGCTTAAACTGAAATAAAACCAACAGTGTTTATTAAAACTTTGGAAAGAAGCTCTACTAGTTTGTTCTCATTTTGAAAATATGTAAAATACACCCTATTCTAAGTATCCTATCCTTATTCCTTATTTTTCACAGCTGTATTTTCTTCAGCTTATTAGTAGTCTGCAATCCCTGTTCGGTTCTTGGCCTCCCAGTTGTGAAGGCAATCAAGGGGGAGGCACACAATTAATGTGTATGTAGCTGTTACCTGCTTACAGCTTCACAGTGAAAACCGAGTGCAGGTTCTCGGTCCCTCTAATTGTCTGCTCCCTCTATTTCAGGCAGTCATCATAATAGTTCATTTCCCCCTCTTCCTAACCAGCTGATGAGGACCCTTACCAGCTTTGTCTTCTGGAAAAGTTCAGACATATTCCTAAAATGGGAAAATTAAATCTAGATGGTGAGTTTCTGAGGGTCTTTTGCATGGCAGCTCTTCTTTCCTCTCCATCCTTAGAAATGGAAACCAGAAATCACAGATCTCAATGAAAGCTATGCATAGATACAGTTGAGAAAGAAGCAAAAGTTTTCTTCATCACAATGGAATTAAAATAAATCATGTAGAACTTGAGAATATTTTTTTCTGGACCCCCTTCTGTTTCTCTCTTGTGCACTGGACATCTTTTCTAATATCTTGCACATTAAATGAGAAAGTTTTGTTAAGGCTCTGTGGAACCGGGAGGGTAACAATATTCACTTTATAGTGACTGTTCATAGGTGTAATGGAAGTAAATTCCATCTGTAATGACTGGTAGGATGGCAAATGTCTCCTCTTCCCTGTAAAATGCTTTACCTGAAAAAAACCCTTTGCTAGGAAAGTAGCAAGCTTGAACTACTTGTGCTAATAAATACTTTGTCTCCAAAGTTTCTGGACATGAATCTACAAAAAAAAAGAGATTTCCCCAGGGTACCAGTCGAAGTTTTCAGAAAGAAATGTAGAAGGGGTTTATTTTGTAACCTATACTCAGATATTCAGTAGGCAAGTTGTTTGGAAAGCGTAAAGACTTGTGGAGGAAACTGTTCCAAGTCTCTCTTTCCTTCCAGTGATGGAGTCTACCTCAGCAAAAGTTTCCCTGGGCAGTTCTCATCCAGCCTCCAAGATAAACATTGCACTTCAGCATGATGCTTTTTTTTTTCTTTTGAGAGAAGGAAAGCCAAGGTTGACATTCTTCATCCCATGCAAATATTTTCCTATTTTTGAGCATACCTCTGAATCTGGTGAGAATCTGTACTCCCTACACACCTTCCTTTTCCTCTTTATAATTAATGGAAGAGTGCATTGCTGAAGTGTTTGTTTCAAGCTGAAAACCCATTTCTAAGTTACTTTGTACTTTCCTGCGTATAAATAAAAAAAAACTTTTCCTCTTTTCCTATTTGGTTTGACTTTCTCCTTCAGATGAAGATTGTCTAATACAGTGGAAAAATCTTATCTCAACTGAATTTACATGCAAGAGACTTTAATTTGTGATAGACAAATTGTCTTTGGAAGGATTGTTTGCAGGGTTTGTTTTCCCACACTTGCCCTGGTCCATGCTTGGTTGTTCAGTTTTAAAGCGAAGAGTATTCAGGATAGTCTCTAAATATCCTGACAAGACTATTGTAATTATTTGGTTTGAAATCTCTCCGGAATTAATATTTGACTCAAAATCAGGCATGTTGCAAAGTCCTTCAAGGCAGTCCTGCTTTCAGCTTCATAACAAAGGTATTCCTTTGCCCTTCTATGTCAAGACCATTGGATACGAACCTGTTTTCTAGAATAAAAATTATCAGAATCATCCTGTTCGGATGCTCCTCTATGTTCCTTATGTTTTAAAAAATGCTCTTTTGATTTAAGTTACTCTCAGGTTGGAAAGGGGGAGAAATTAATTTTTTGAACAGTTGCATCTTGTTTTTTCAAAGACCCAGGATATGTATGCATCATTTCAGCCACATAGAGTTGTGCTCTAATCAACTCAAGTCATGCTAACTGAAGGAGGAGATGAGTTAGCCCATGCCAAGTGTTAGTTGGCTGTAAGTCCCTTGTCATTCTACCCAGGTATCTGTAATCCAGCTGTTTGCTGGATCCTGACTGCTGGTTTTTATGTGCTTGCCAGGAAGCCACAATATTTCTTTTAAATAATCTCCAAAGGAAACACAAAAAGAACACTACACTTTCTCATGTTAAACAATAAAATGTCAGCTGTTCCAGAGGAACATTTCTGGCTTGAGATGGAAATTCTTCTGTGCTTCCTTAAATTCTTTATTTTGTTTTAGCTACTAGACTGTATCTGAAGTTGGTGCAAATCTTGTCTGAATAAGCATAAAGATATGGGTTATCAGGCCTTGGCCTCTGCAGACTTCTTTAACAAATTGTCTTGTTTTCTGTGTACATGAGAGTTACTTAACAAGACAGGACAAGTGTGCGTGCTCAAAGGCGAAGAGGTACCCTTTTATTGCGTTGCAGAACTGCTATTTGGTGCTCTTTTGGAATTCACATAACCCCTATGAGACAGAGCAAAGACTGCGTTGAGATGCTCCTTAAACTTCCTACCCACTGAATAACTTCAGTATGGTGGTACGAGCAGGGAGAAGTGAGGTTTACGAAATGTTAGAAATAGTGCAGCAGTGTACATCCCATTCTGCACTGCTTAATGGGCAGACTGTAGTCTGTAAAGGACAAACAACTGCAAATTATCTTATGTTGCGGTGAACTGTTTGATTTAATTTAAATGGTTCACGTGATTTTTGTATGGAGGAAGGAAATATGTCTGGTTACTGTTAAACCTCTATTTAACTGTTAATTTTCATCCTGCATATGATATCTATAAATCATTTTTTAGGCTACTAAGAGCAAAATAAGTAGCTAGGATAATGAAAATCAAGTTTTGGATTGCATTTTTTTCTGTTCTGAAGCATGATTAATAATAGTGTTCTATTATTTAATAGGCTCTGTTTTTTCCAAATCTGACATTAACTTGAAAAAATTTTGAACTTTAAAAGCTAGACTAAAAAATACCTTGTGGTTGAAGTCTTTGGCAGATGAGCACAGGACTTTTAACCTTTGGAAATATGGTGTAAATTCAGCATGAAGTTCCAAATAAAATGAGTTCAGTGGTTTTAGCTCAGCTTTTGGATGCAAGTCCAGATAGAAAGAAACAAACTGGGTGGGAGGGGGGAAGAACCATGCATTATTTCAGCATGACTGATGGTCTCTGACAGAGAGAGACTGGAATATCTTACATGAAGTGTATGCTGTTAATATGGTATTTTCCTCTGTTTGATTTTAAAAATATTTTTAAATTAAAGGTTTGACATTAGTAATATGTATTATAAGAGTAATATTGTAGTACACACTAGAAATGCTATAGTCAATAGTTTTGCTAGCTATCCCATTAAAACTCCTTACTTAAAAATATTTGACTTGAAATGGTTCAGCCTTTCTGAAAGTAAGGACTCACAACAAATAGTAATTGTTAAGAAAATGTGTCTAAAATATGTTTTGCCATTTAAATTGAGACCTATTAACCTAGTGGTCATGTCTCTTGTGTGTCACACAAAAAGGCTTAACTCCTTGCATGTAAAAATAGATTATCACCATTTCATATGGAAGAGTGGTAATTAGGGCATTCTTATTTTTTTCATAAAATTCATAAAATTGCATATGATGTTTTTACTCAGTGTGTGCTCTCTTAGTGCTGGAATGGAAGTATCTATGTCTTTATGTTTATTAGCTGTAGAGTGGACACGACCATGTATTGGTTCCTCACAACATCCCAGTGTCTTTTCTTCAACCTTTGAACCTCTTTCTATGAAAAGAAATTAAGTGATATAACATCTCAACAATTTTCAATTGGATAATAACTGGGGTTTCAAAATTGAAAAATACTGGTAGTAGAATTCAGAAATTCTTATCTTCAGAATGGATGTCTGATTTTTTAGTCTCTTGTGAATCTTAATTTCCTGGTTTGTGAGTCATAATTTCCCATTTGTGACATTGAACATAAAATCACAAGCATCCTAGGGCGAATTCTCTCTTCCTTTACTGCACTAAGGACCAAAGAGACGCTTAACAACTATCAGTTCTCAATCCCTGTCTAGTCTTGCGTTCTTTGAGGAGACTGTAGAGAGGCCTGTTACGATTACCAAGGCAGGTTTCAGTAAAGATCAATGAAATTATGCTTTTTGTTTGTTTGTTTAAGACCTCAAATCCTCTTCTATACATCTCCTTCAAAAACCATGAAATACATATTAGTGCAGCAATGTGAAAACCTCTAGATCACGGAAAGGGCAAGTTTTATATAAATCATACTACTGAACTTCTTTTAAATAAATCTGGGTTCTCGATATAGAAGGAGCATAAGAGTGATCTTGTGTTAAATGACTGGTTTTTTTCTCTCTTAGTTTTCCACCATAAGGGTCTTGTTTGTAATGTAAGTTTCATATTGCAACTATTACCATGTGTTATTAATTTATCTACAATATAAAGAATTATTGTTGAAATACTGCATGTAAACATAGTTTGAATGCTGCTTTTCAAAAATACAACAAAAAAAAAAGAACTTAAATCCATTTTAAATAACACTAGTGTTATTAGTGTTAGGGCCTCAGTGAAATGTTAACTGACTTAGAAGATATATTGAGCAAGAAATTCTTCAAAATTGCCTTCAAACTTGCTACACATTTGAAGTTATGAAAATATCCCAACAAAATTTTCATTAGTTAAGATGAAATGAGAATGCAGAAAAATTGCAAAAAATATTACTGTTACCTGGCAAAGTAGGATTCTCTGTAAGGCTTAAACACAGACAATTAAAAAGCTTCATATGCTAACCACAAAATTATTACAAAAGGCAACAAAAGTAGTTAGCAAAATGGTAATTGAGTTTTATTTCCGTATGTGTTGCAAGTAGAGCTAAAATAAAGCTTTCATGAGTTTATACGTTTCATTTGAAATCAAGAGAAAAATTGGGCCACTCTAAGTAGTGGAGGGGCTTTATTCTTACCTGGTAAGACACTGTAACTAGATTCGTGTCCACCCAAACCTATGAGAGAGTCAAATACTCCCATTACACCGTCATCAATATTAATAAGAGGTATGCTGGGTACTACAGCAACAGGAGCTGGAACCTTCATCCTTGGCTGTCTTGGGGACCTGTGCCCTGCTGAGGAGCTCCTCCTCAATCCTCTGTAGTGCATTCTTCTCCTTTGCTTCCTGAGAAGTGCACTGGTTTCATTTTGAGAAAAATCAATGCACAGAGAGACAAGCAGGAAATAATAGACTAATGATGTAGCCTGCATGTTTTTGTGTGTCTCAGAAAGTATCCTGGAATGGAAAAAAAAAAGGAAAATTAGATACCTAGAGAGCTTTTAGGATTATGTCAGTCATATAGTGCACTTTTCAAAGCAGGTGGACCAATACATGGTAGGTCAATATAACCAAGCTTCCTCTTGGAAAGAAATTGCCCAATGAGAGCGAAAGTAAGCAATTTTAGTTTTGTGGTTCTCTGCCCTTATAGGCAATAGTCAAATTCAAATAAGTGCCAGCTTTGTATTTGGGGTTGCATTTAAAGAGGTAGTTTAGATTTGCAGTGCCACCAGGCATTTGTAGTTTAGTAATTGTTACTGCTTCCAGCAAGGGAGTTCCTGAGAGCTGTAAAGTGTTTCTTCACTTTTTTGATTGCTAATATTTCTTCCAGGTTGTTGTAACTTCCGAACATGGGAATGGCAAAGTAACAGAAAAATGCCCAATTCATTTCTAATATGCTCCCCCAAATGCTTTTGGTTTGTCATTTCTGTGCAAGGTATTTTTCACCATAGATGAAAAGAGATCTTGCTTTTGCTTCTGTTTGTAGCCATCCCCTTCTTTAATACAATCTTTTTGCTTCTGCAGTAGGGGAGACCTTTTGGAAGTTTGATCACAATAGCATTATTTATGACATCCCACATCTGCTAATCTAGTGGAAGTTTTTATTAAGTGTAGGTAGTCTAAAAAGGTTGATCTGTAATGGATTGTGTTCTGCATTTACTTTCTAAGAAATTCAAAATGACTATATATCTTGAGCCTTCTTATGCTTCTGACAGAAAAATTATGTTTACTGTCACCAATAGGTGGCATTCCAAAACAGAGCAGTCAAGATTCAGGAGTATGCATAGAAAGCATATCCAGCAATGGCTATACCAGTGTGGAAATAAGGCAATGCGTGTCCAAAGTTATTAATGATTTGTCATGCTCTGTTGGCATAATTCTTTCAAAAAGGAAATGCTCTTGTCCTGTGGCCTATTTTAACTGAGACGGTAGAGTCTGAAGACACTAGTATTCTTACGACGTTGAGAATTAGTGAAGAACTTGAGACTGAGAGCACTTAGTCTTTGTGTCCAAGACAAGGCTTAGAGTATGTCCGTGGTTTTTCTCTTAAGGAAGTCTTGAGAGGATTAAAAAAATTTTTTTCTTAGTGTTCATCAGTCTGGCTTTATACGTAGTCTTTCACTTTGGAGTTAGTCTTATTATAGTTACTTATATTGTATAAATACAGGATAGTATTATTTCAGGAACTTGAACTGTGTTTTTGCCTGAATCAGATTTTTTTAAAAAGTTTGTGCATCTTGGTATTTTCTGATTTATGTAATAGGTCAAGTTTTTGGTACCAGTTGCCTAACTTTTCTTTAACATAAGGCATGTGATTGATTGCATGGTTTTCATGCTTTCCACAGCATAATTCTCATATTTTTTATTCTCATGTTTTTAAATGGGTAGTTGGCACTAAATAAGCTTAAAACAGTATGCTTTTACTTCTTTCTAATATTGTAGTTTCTGTGTTCAACTATTCTAATTTTAAAATATTACAGCTAATATAGATATATTAATTTGCAGAATTTTGTTACACTAAGCTAATGTGTTTATTTCCATGTAGAGGGAATTTAAGATCTCTCTCACACAAATCCACACAACGTCTCATGTAATAGCAGGGTTCTGAAATTAATCCAGACTTTAGAAATCAGTTATTCCAAAATGCTACATAGACTTTATACTGGCCCTTTATTTACAGAAATTACTGTTAGTTAACATATCAAATAGATGCAGAAGCTTGTACTCTGCATTGATGATGTCTGTTCTTTTTCAAAAGCTTGTTTCTTAGTACCTCAGCTTGCAGGACAAATGACCTAATGTTTTTGGTTTCTAACTTACTTGCATGGTAACGACTGGCTATAAAATTACACAGTAAACTTCTGTTCCGCAAGTTTGAATGAAACACACAAAGAGCCCTTAGGGAAAACTGAATATACAAAGAAAAGTCTTGAACATGTGTATTTATTCTGTTGAGTTAGTGACATCTTAATTATGGTCACATTTTTATGGTATACTTTATAATAACGCCATAACTTTGTAGTTACAGTGCTGCTACATTACATTTGTGCTTTTTTAACATTTAACCATTTCTTCCTGTGACCAGAGGCATATAAAAGCATGACTGAAATACTTTTCCATTCTCTATGCATGTATTTTTAAAAGTCAAGAATAATACAGGGTGAATTACATTGCATTTTCTGTACAAAGGATGTTTTGCTGTTAACTTCAATATAGAGTAAAACTCTATAGTAAATCCAATTATTTTAAAGTGAAACTTGTTTTCGTAAAATACATTATAATTACAAATTTAAAACAAACAAACAAACAGAAAACAACCCCCCAATAATATGTCTTTATAAACTAATCCTGTCCATATATGTGAGTTTATATGCTATATTTTCACACCAAGTTAACTCTTCGGTACTGAAAGCTTAATACTGCTACTTTGAACCAAATGGTGTTCCTTGCATGCAAAATACTGAGCTACGTTTCTAAGTTTCTTTCCTTGGCTTATTTAGTAAGTGGTGTCTCACATTTTAAGGCCCCAATTGTGAATGTCATACAAGAAAAAGGCCTTAAATGCATTAGGCCTTTACTGCCCATGGGTGGAATCCCCAGATTATCTGTCAGGAAGTTATAGTTAGTATAGTGCTAGCCAACTTTTAATTTGGGGAAAATTCATCCTATCCAACTTGTAAGACTTTTGTAATAAATGATTACATATCAAAATAAAATTATAGATAGCTAATATAATGAAATTATTATATCTTTGTGTTGCCAAATACTCTCAACATGACTGCGTTGCTATACCTTTTTTCATTTTAGCCATAAATGTTGAGATCATGCATAGTATGTGTAAGCATCCTTATTACCTTTACTTTTATCTTGTAATATGTTCAGTAGTTTGTAGCTTTCAAAATGTCTATCTTCAGTAAGTTCAGTATCTATCATTTTGCTATTATGGAAACAGTTAATTTTTAAAGTAGTGACCCTTTAGAAATACAAGAGTATCAGAATTTATTAAATAAACTATCTTTATCTATTCAGTCTAAATTCAAATATGTTCTAAGATGTCAAGGTTATTTCTCATGATACACAGGGGTTAAAGTGATTTACCAAGATTTTTCACATGCTCTTCTTTAAATTTATTGCATAGAAATGAGTTACATTTAGCCATACCAACAAAACTAATTGCACTTTCAGTTAGTTTAAGCTTGAAGTGCGTGGCAAACATTCATACCAAACAAAAAGCAGATCAACTGATATTGCATACTTTATCTAGAAAAGCATTTATGTTCAGTATTGCTAAATATAGCTAATATTATTTCATACATATTTGCAAAGTTAACATGTCGTTTAAGCCATTCAACACCATGCTTTAAGCAGTAATTTAAAATTTAAAACATTTTACCTTGTAATCTAACCTAACAGCAGATTCTGCTTGGTGTCATTTAGTCTCCAGTTGCAAATGAAACAAAATCACAGTGATATCTTTAAAACAAACAGAGAAACAGTAGGGATTGTTGAAACATGCTAGATGATTCCTTAGTTAAGTCTGAAATAGCTTCTTTCCCTGGGGACAAAGCGCTGTTCTGTTCTGTGTGCAGAGAATCAGCTAATACTGTTACTCGGAGAACTAAAAAGCTCACTTAAGGAAAATGAAAAGCAGCACAATATGTTCGGTCCGTAGGCTGACAAGGCACAGCTGGAAATTCTCTTTCAGTACTTACAGTTGCATAAGGAACAGGAAAATGGAGTGTTTTCAAAAGACACGAAAAATGTGTATTTTATTCAGTTCTGGTTTATGTATTTAGAAATTCAGTTTCCAGGTGGCATAATTTTAATGTAGATTTATTATTTTACAGAGATAATACATTTTGGCAAGCGTAACCTTAACATTTATTAAAATTAGAACTTTTTTCTGCAATTCATGTTTTCTTAATCCACTCCTGCCTATATAGCCTATAATCTATAAGAAGCAAACCTTTTTCTTGAAATTTTAGCATGGAAAATTTTTCATTTGTCCATTTACAGCAATGATTTCAGCGTAAGTTGTAGCTTATGCATGGAAAATAAAATGACTGAAGCGTTTTCCCTTCATTTTTTTGTAAGGCTAATTACATCCTGAAACATGATCCTGAAGCACAGTTATGCAGAAGCTGCAGTGAAGTTAGTAATCCAAATATGAGAACTGAGTGTGAGGGGAAGGGAGGGAATAATGGTACATTACCACAAGTCCTTTGTATGCCAGCAGAGCCTTTTCCTTCATCCCCAGATAACGCTTCTGCAGAGTGTCAGTGTTTGATGAGATGGTGAGTCTCTTAAGCTTCAGGAATGACAAATTTACCTGGTAGATGGAGTTGTCTGAGTTCTGACATTAGAAATTTGTTGTTTGCTTGAATTCGTACTCTGAGGAATGTTTAGACAGATAGTCACGGAATGGTATAACCATTGAGTTAACCATAATTGTTAGCCAGTATGTGGTGGAAAGAGACTGGGAAAACACATTGTCTCTTAAAATAGTCATTCAGTTTCTACTTTGCAAAGTCAGAAGAAGAAATATTAAACTTTTGTAGTTTATCTGGAGCTGTTTAAAAAGAATGGCGGTAGTTATACTTAACAAATGGAGCTAGCATCTGAAATGAGAGAGCACGGTTCAGTACCTGTGCTAAAAGCATTGATTTGTAAAGAATGAGTCAAACAATAGGACAACAGCTGATTTAACACAAGCAGGGAAAAGAATAGCAAATTAGATCTTCTCATGGTTATGCATGTCAGCTAAAAGACTTTACGTATTTAAATGATGGTGTGTTTATTAGAGACAAAAGTGACAGCATTCACTTTATTATATATTTAAATGTGGCTTCTTAAGCTTCTGATTGCTGTCTCAGGATCATCTTTTGATAGCGTTCAGGCACATATGTCCAGAAAGCCTGCCTAGCTGGGACACAAGATTGCTGGCTAGTAGGCCAATAAGGTGGACCTGGCCAGCCTTTGCTCATGTGAATCTTGGGTTTAATGCATCAGCTTTGGATGTGACATCTCGGATTGCTGAATTTTAGTAAATCCTTAAAGCTGGTCTTTTTAGGTTATGTCACCTCTGTATTTTTTGAAAGGTCAAAATCTTCCAGCAGCTTTCCAGAACTGAGTGGGAGACCATCTTGTCTCCTCTGCTAGATCATAGAGTGAAAATCCTACATTCTCTAAGCAGACTGAAAGATCTTTTAAGGTGTTAATGAATCAATATATGGACTTCTCTAAAACAGATACTTTAGCATGGACAGTGAAGCACAAAGGCTTGCTAATTTTAAGGATCCGAGATGATCTATTCATCTGTTATATGTGTATTCCATAGCCTGGGTTTCACACAGAAAGCAATTGCTGGTAAGCAAACACTTCCTCTGATAATGTCACTGCTTCTAATAGGTGAGTAAAAGCCCTGGAGGCATTAGACTTCTGGTAGTATCCATGTTTAGCCTTCGTTGTGCCACCTTTAAATCACTGTTCTCCTGTAATATGCATGCCAAAATGAAGTTTCTCTTATATCTGGTGCCATGTGGCATTTCTGTTAAACACACTGAAGTTAAAATATCCGAACAAAAGCCTATTGTATTAAACAAATAAATAATCTAGTTTGTTCTCCTTCATCCCTCTAGTTACCTGGCATAAGAGTGTGGCTTTGTGATCTTAGTAGTGCCTGCCATTAGTATGAAACAGAATTCCTATGGGGCCCTTGCTTATCTTTTTCTCAACTTTTTTAAGGAAGAAATAAAGACAATCTGAGGGATCTGCAAAGACATAGCTCCCTCTTCTTGAAAATGACATTACACTTTCCTACAATGAACAGTAATGTTTGAAAGTTGTAGGAGCTGTTAAAGAGAGTTTCCCATGGTTACCTGATATCTGGAGGGTTTGGGGTTTTTTTTAATTTGTAATAGTAGTACCTGAAAGCGGACATCATCTGGTGTCTTCCAATAAGATACAAATATATGTAAGATTAATAATTAAATATTGTTTGAATATTGTTATTTACATTAAAATCTTCCATGCAAACTTGCCTGTCATAATAGCTAAAGAAAAAATACTGTATATTCGGCTAAAACCTCAGACTAGGATGGCCTTGCAAATGATTTCAGACATGTGCAGTTCAGGTAATTGCTCTTTGAGTGAAAAACATTGCAGTATCCTCAGAGATCTAGTATTTACTGCGTTAATGTAAATAATTCACTCTGAGAGCAGAGCAAGTTGCCCATATCTGCTTCGTCTGTAAGTACTGTGTACCTGTCTATGCCGTATGCATGGCTAGTCATTTGAATGAGTTGTGCAATATGAATGTTATTGTCTATTAAGATGCCTTAATGTGGAATGGTCTCTTTTGAGGAGAGAAGAGACAGAGTGTAAACAGCAGTGACTAATAATTAAAATAACTTTTTATTATTTCATATCTTATGGCAAACTGCCACAAGAGCACTGTTGCTTAGTGTCTTGAGCAAAAGCCATAGGATGTGTGAAATGAATGTGGAAGCCTGGAGCCTCTGGCATGGACTCCTTGTAAAATCCAGGCTGATCTCTTCCTTATAGCTTGTTATTTGTAGAGAGACTTTCCCTCTTACTTTGCTGAAATTATCCAATGGAAATTATTCAAGGAAATCATCTTCAGTGAAAAAGAGGGCTTAGAATTTAGATTGGCATCAGGCTTGTTTATAGTGGTTACAACAGATTTTTATAACATCTCTAACCGTACCTGTTAGATGACAACCAATAGTGGAAATAGGCTTTTAAGCGATTTGATACAGTTAAAATAAATTTGTTTTCTATTTCTTCCTCAAAAGACCTTCTTTTCAAACACTAATCTAAATCTTACTTCTATGAACATAGAGGATCCCATGAGTTAAGGCAGCAACACTCCTGAACCCCTATACTGATATAAAATCTGTATGTTTGCAGTCATTTCCTCAGACAGTAATAACAGATAAAACTTGTCTACTTTTGGTACCTACTCCTATACCATGAGGGAATACAAGAATATTTATGAACTAGAGAATAATATTTTGTGATCTTAAGGAATTACTTCCAAAGTGTGAGTGGCAAAAGGAATCTTTTTTGCCACTGCTTTTTCTTCATCCTCTAAGCATAGCTTTCTACCTTGCTTCTCAACAACATCAAATTCTAATTTTTCTGAATTTCCTGAGGGCATCAGTAGCCTCTTTTCCTTTCACAGCAAGGAGAAGTATTAGTCAGTGTACAATGGTACTATTGTTATTTTTCTTTTTATCTTTTGCTTCTTCCTGCAAGAATGAATGGTGGGAGGAAAAGCTTACGTTCACTACTGTGGCTCTGTTCTAAGTCTCAGAGGGGGGGCAAAATTAATGTTTAAGTTAATATAATAGAATCTGTGGTGTTGAAAGTGGCTTATAGATTTTCAAATTCTGTCTGAAAGGCCACTAAAATACATGGAACATGCTGAAACAGGAGGAACAACATCTGTTTCTTAATCGTCTTGAAAATGCCTGAAGTGTAAAACCTTAGTCATCAAAGAAAGCCAGCAGGCTGAAGGAATATAAGGAGGACATCTTAAAAAAACAAAATAAAAGAAAAATTCTTAAGCAAAGTTAAGAAGTCAAGCATCTGGGATTGGTCAGTTTAAGAGTGGAAATTTGAGAGATGATATATGAGTATAGAAAGAGGAGTTGAAGTCACTTTTTATGATCACAGCTTATGGAGACCATGAAACCTCAGTTCTACATCATACCTTTTAAAAATGTAATCCTTTGTCTGCATAATGGCCAAAAAACCACATGAATAGAACATGAATAGCCTTCACTGAACCAGTTTAATGCCATCTAGCTTACCATACTTGAGGAAAGAATGCATTTATTTTAGACAGCTGCAGTATTGCTTAAATTACCTTCTCCACTTACTGTATGAGTGTACTCAGGAGGTCATGTAGATTATCTAGTCCAACCTGCTGCTCAAAGCAGGGTGAAGATTGAATTCAGACCAAGTTTTTATTCAGTTGGTTTTGAAAGGCATCAAGGACAGAGTTTATACAACTTCTCTTGGCTGCCATTCCAATGCCTGACTGCCACTGAGAAAAAAATTTTCTTTATTTCTGATCCTCCTGAGGATGCACCTCCATAAAGAGCTGTGCTTTGTATTCTCTTTGATAGTGCAAGGCTACTCTTAGAATTTCCCTAAGCCATCTTTTCTCCAGGCAGAACCAGTCTCTTACTTCTATTAATAGTTAGCAAACCCTAAGGAATTTGGAAGTGGTTCAAAAGGGTGTATGTCATGCTTGGTTATAAAATGTGATTGAAGATGACATTAAAATAGGCTTTAAAAAAAAAAAAAATTAATGCTACTTCAAATGGATGGTTTTTTTTATTATTATTCTCTTATTCCATGTGTTCTGATCAAGATTAGAGAAAAGGCAGTGTGTTTTCATGCCGACTTTGTTGGCTCTTTGAGTGCTCTTGGCTCTGAGATCTCTCTGAGTAGAACTTAGAGTCAGGATTATTTGCAGGGCTGACTCCTAGCTAGTGGTAAGTTGCCAAGTTACGATGGTTTAGACAACATATATGGCAGCCATGCAGTACAAGTTTTGGAGATTTTTTTTTCTTTCCTTGCTTTGGAGTAAAACAGAGAAAATGTTGACTAAAGGGATGGAAATTTTGTAAGTGGACAGCGTCAGTTTTCTTATTTTTGAAGCAAGTCATGACAGACTGTTTCTGTAATTTGTATAAAAAAGCCCAAAATGATAGGCCTGTGGTGTTACAGATTCTGAGCACTGGAGCTTTTGTGGAACTTGTGCATACGGAGTTACAGATTTTTAATTTTCTTGACATTCATTCTTCCCCTCTCCCCCCCCCAAAAAAAAAAGTTATCTGGATATCTTCCCCCAAAACATTTTTTAAAAGACTATTATTTGTAACATGAGTCTCTATTTATTTTTTTTATTTTAAAGTTATTTCAGAATTATCTGAGAGTATTTTACATATGTCTGTATTTAGGTAATGATTTATGTGCATCTTATGCTACATGTTGATGTTGTCTTGTTGAAAAGTATTAAAGGAACAACATGATGTTCCTTGGAAGACATCAAGCTGTGAAATGTTCTGCTTTCTGCAATTATAAATTGATTGTGAGAAATATCACATACAAATGTTGGAAAGTCCACATCTTCTGCATGACTGTGTATCCATCACTGGATGAAAGGGAAGTTTTTTCTTACAATATCTACATAGAGTATGGCCTATCCTTCCTT